TGCTTCCTGGGCATAACACAATATCCCTCCTCTTGCAGTCTGTGTCAAAACACATGTCGTTCTGCATCAAAGACTGGGAAATTAGTTTAAAAGCATATTTTGATGAAAGAAGGGCAAGCATTTTGGACTCGTTGACATTAATGACTGGAGAATGAGGCCAGCAGACTTCCCCAAAAGAATTTAACTCCAGCTGGTACCCATTCCCTAGACTGTGTTGTTCTTGGATGGCTCAGTTAGCAGTGTAAGCAAGTTCAGGGCAGTTCAGGTGTTGCATGATTCTTATATGGAAAAGCACCTCACTGTTGATTAGATAGTGGGGACCATTCTTAAACACGGGGGATGAAAGTAAAGAATACATTTGCATACCCTTTAAGGCTTTTTAGGTTATTATAAAGGGGGGGGGAATTAAAATTTTCTAAATAGACTTTCCTTCTAATAAGGAACTGTAGATTTCATTTACTAAGGGCATGTCCACATTTGAGCATTATTTAGCTGTTAATCCACTTCCCCCTCCTCCACTTGAATTAGACAGGAGAGTTTCCCACACACTTATATTTGAATGTGATTATGAGGAGCAGTTTTGATATTTCTTGTTTGTGCCAATAGGCGTTTCCTTTTGTATTTATCCCCCCCCCCAATTTGTTGATTCTGTTATGCTGATTTTGTACCAGTGAGACATGAGCCAGTGTGGTGTAGTGGTTAAGAGCGGTGGATTTGTAATCTGGGGAACCGGGTTTGTGTCCCTGCTCCTCCACATGCAGCTGCTGGGTGACCTTGGGCTAGTCACACTTCTCTGAAGTCTCTCAGCCCCACTCACCTCACAGAGTGTTTGTTGGGGGGGAGGAAGGGAAAGGAGAGTGTTAGCTGCTTTGAGACTCCTCCGGTTAGTGATAAAGCGGGATATCAAATCCAAACTCCTCCTCCTTCTACACAGACAGCTGTGTGCACAGTGTCTTTTTTAAAAATTCCCTGCCTCAGAAGCAATAACCATTCTGCAAACTGCATCTAAGTGTGCCAGATAAATAGACTTTCTTCTTCTAATCAAATTGTAAAGCTGCCTTGCACACACCCCTGGAGGTATTCTCACTGCAAACTCCCTGAACTTGGGCTCCTTTGGGAGAAAGGGCAGCATATGCATCAAATAAAATAATTAATAAATAAAATTGGAAGATATAATCCTGTTGAGGCTTCTGTGCCTCCAAATTTCATCCACTTCTGTGACAAGAAAAGCTATAGCCATATTTATATTCCCCATTATAGTGGATAGGGGAGGGGGGAAACAAATTTTCATTTTTTATAGATATATTTTGTTCTAAATAAGGAGTTGAATTGGAAAGTCACAGAGTGACTCTAATCGGCATTTCCAAAGCTACAGATACAGGTACAAGTTGAATCTGGATACCAGTGCACACTCCTAGATAATAATATTTTGAGAACATAAATAGGTGTGTTGAGAAGTGATGGACTTGTGGCTCCCCTTCTGTGGAGGAATTTAAGTAGAGGAGAAACTGAATGGTCCACCTGTCAGGGATACTGTAGTCTGTTGTATCCTGCACCGAGCAGAGGATTGAACTGGATCTCCAGGCTCCCTTCCAGTTCTATGATTCTAATATCTCTAGAAGAAACCTATATTGAGGTTTTGATAATATGTCCATCAATTAAAAGTCAGGTTAATCAGATAAGTATTTCATTGAAGCTTTCCTTTTGTTATATTCTAAGTGCTATATGCATGGAGAGCAAAAACAGATTTTTCTCTAAACACAACACTCTGAGACCATTGGGTTTGCTGAATGTTCTTAAATGTCATAGCCTTGCAATCCAGTTTTGCTAAGCGATCTGAAAGACAAGTTGGGTCTCCGTAGAGGGGTCCCCATTTGCTCCTAAATTGTGTACATTCCACAGAAACTTTTAACTCCATCTGTTAAGTATTTATAGACCATAACAAATATGATATGGGAATGATGGAGACCATATTTCCCCCATATCTGATTTGTAGTTATTTTCCAACACAATTGCAACGTCTGCCTATCCAGTGTCGGTAGGCAAAGCTGGCTCCTGTGTCTTTAATTAAAAGCTCCTTAGTTGACAGTCCTACACTTTTAGTACTTCCTGTTGTGCACAGTGTGATTGCTGATAACTTGCCTGTTAATTGACTTTCAGATAGCATTTCTTAATTGCCTCTTAAGGTCAGTTCCTGGGCAGGAGTGCTTGAAAACTACATTTCCGCCCATTATATTTTGTTTTCATTTCTGTATACTAAAATACTGTACTGCTATTTCACTGTAAAAAGGAAAAGGAGAAAATGATGAGAAGTTAAAGCCTCTTCTAGAAAAGAAAGTAACAAAAAAGGGCAATTACGAAAGGCTGTTCAAGAGGCAATTAAGAGACTCAGTCAATAATCCCTCTGATCCACTCAGTAGGAAGCCATCAACAGTAGTTGCAGGACATCAGCTTGAAGTTTCCTTCTTGCTTTACTAATGTCCAATGGCACTCAATGCTGTAATCATTCTCTTACCCAAAAATTTAAGCACACATTCTAAAATGCGTATGAGGTTCTAAATGGATTGCCAGCCAGTGTTTCAGGCTGAGACTACTCACTCTTAATGTACTTTGAGCCTGGTCACACAAGTTTTTCATATGGAATACATTAGTGCATTCAATTTCCTCAAACCACACAGAGCTCATCTTGACCCTTTAGCAGTCTGTGAAGTCGGCAAGAATGACATGGCAGAAAGGCATGCAAAATCCCATTAATATGGCCCCAATCCCACACTCCATCAATATGTTACTGCTTCCAATTATTGATACAAAGCTGTGCTAAACTAAAACTGCAGGACCTTGTTTGTGCGTGTGCGAGTGTATGAGCACATATTCATGATTGCTACCATGTCACATTCAGAGCAAGGACAAGCTGCAATATCTTCAGCTAACACTATCAAAAGAGACCAAATTGCAAACATGCGCTGGATTATGGAGAAAGCTAGAGAGTTCCAGAAAGACATCTACTTCTGCTTCATTGACTATGCAAAAGCCTTTGACTGTGTCGACCACAGCAAACTATGGCAAGTTCTTAAAGAAATGGGAGTGCCTGATCACCTCATCTGTCTCCTGAGAAATCTCTATGTGGGACAAGAAGCTACAGTTAGAACTGGATATGGAACAACTGATTGGTTCAAAATTGGGAAAGGAGTACGACAAGGCTGTATTTTGTCTCCCTGCTTATTTAATTTACCGGTATATGCAGAATACATCATGCGAAAGGCTGGGCTGGATGAATCCCAAGCTGGAATTAAGATTGCCGGAAGAAATATCAACAACCTCAGATATGCAGATGGCACAACCTTGATGGCAGAAAGTGAGGAGGAATTAAAGAACCTTTTAATGAGGGTGAAAGAGGAGAGCGCAAAATATGGTCTGAGGCTCAACGTCAAAAAAACGAAGATCATGGCCACTGGTCCCATCACCTCCTGGCAAGTAGAAGGGGAAGAAATGGAGGCAGTGAGAGATTTTACTTTCTTGGGCTCCATGATCACTGCAGATGGTGACAGCAGCCACGAAATTAAAAGACGCCTGCTTCTTGGGAGAAGGGCAATGACAGGCCTAGACAGCATCTTGAGAAGTAGAGACGTCACCTTGCCAACAAAGGTCCATATAGTTAAAGCCATGGTTTTCCCAGTAGTGATGTATGGAAGTGAGAGCTGGACCATAAAGAAGGCTGATCACCGAAGAATTGATGCTTTTGAATTATGGTGCTGGAGAAGACTCTTGAGAGTCCCATGGACTGCAAGAAGATCAAACGCATCCATTCTTAAGGAAATCAGCCCTGAGTGCTCACTGGAAGGACAGATTGTGAAGCTGAGGCTCCAGTACTTTGGCCACCTCATGAGAAGAGAAGACTCCCTGGAGAAGACACTGATGCTGGGAAAGATGGAGGGCACAAGGAGAAGGGGGCGACAGAGGACGAGATGGTTGGACAGTGTTTTCGAGGTTACCAGCATGAGTTTGACCAAACTGCGGGAGGTAGTGGAGGACAGAGGTGCCTGGCGTGCTATGGTCCATGGGGTCACGAAGAGTCGGACACGACTAAACGACTAAACAACAACAAACACTATCAAAACAGTAAGCGTCACAAGTTTACTAGTATTCGTCACTTTGCCATACAATGGATAAACCTGAAAATAAATTATGTTATGTATCTTATAATGCAGATATACAGTGCTATATGTGACATTATTTTGCAGTGCAGTAATGGACAGAGAAGTCACTCTCCAAAACCAATCTGCTCACTATGCACATGATCATAGCCAAGTCTCCTTTCTACATTGTAATATCTGAAACTACAGCTTTGGGGGTTTGAGGGAGTAAGGTAATTGAGAGAGTTGCTAGCATGTTAGGAAGGATATTAATAAACAATATATCCTCTCCTGCCACCTTGAACATTCCCACACGAATGTCCAGGACTTTCCATTCAGCTCTTGGGACTCTTCCCCAGGCCACACCCCTCACTGGTCCTTCTCCATGTCCTCCTTGAATGCTATTACCTAGCTGGTATGTGTCCTTACATGTTTGGATGGAGAGGGCCTTATGTGTTTACAGAAGACTGAAACATATCCTGCTGTAGAAGGGTAAGAGTCACATTCATTGTCTGCTCCATCCACTTTTGCCTCTGGTCCCACACACCCCTAGCATGCAGACCCTTACACCCCAAGTTTCCCCACAAGGGACTGCATCCTTTGGGCTGGAAAACATTCCCCATCCCTGCCACAGATGTACCCTTTAGAAACTAAATATCTTTGTCATCATGACTATTTGAAGAAGACAGTGTCGCAGTTTCACTTTACAGTGGTACCTCAGGTTACATACGCTTCAGGTTACAGACTCTGCTAACCCAGAAATAGTGCTTCAGGTTAAGAACATTGCTTCAGGATGAGAACAGAAATCAGCAGGTTTAAGAGATGCAGCAGCGGGAGGCCCCATTAGCTAAAGTGGTGCTTCAGGTTAAGAACAGTTTCAGGTTAAGTACAGACCTCCGGAACGAATTAAGTACTTAACCTGAGATACCACTGTATTTAATAATTAAAGATATTCTGATCTCCAGCCTCAGTTTAATAACAGATCGTTTATATCTCTTGGCTACATTCACTTTCTTCCTAGGTGAACTCCTAATGATGCATGGACAAGAGTCTTCACATTTCTGTGTCATACCAGTTGGTATCCTATCCTCAAGTAATTTCAAAGCCTTTTACCAGATGTCAGATTTCCTTTCCAAAACCAAATATTACTAACGTGGCTGGAATTTACACGGTCACAATGATCATCATGATCAAGATACATTATAGTCTCTCATTACCTTGTAATAAGAGTGGCCAGGCATAGCCATAAAGTTTCATGAAGTTCTGAAGGTTCTGAAGACTTTGGATGTTTTATTAGGTGAAACAGTTATTCTCCATTAAAAATAGCATCGAGTTTCATTAGTAAGTCTAATTTTTCCACTGTTAAAAATGTTCCGTCTCATCAGGGAGTGGCAGATAAAGTCTGCAAAGTTTTATGGCCTACTTGTCCCAAAAAAAGAAGCCACCTCAGCCAGCTGAGGCTGCAGCTCTGACCATTCTTTCTTGGGAGCAAGTGCCATTGAAGTCATGACACCTCAGAATAAACATGCTGAGGATTTGGCTGCAAATAACTTTACTCTGTGACATCGAATATGACTATGCAATAAAACCCGCAGGTTGGTGGGATATTGAACCATGGTGATGTTATAGCACTTAGCACTTCTGGACTTCCACAGATGTCAGAGGGAAAGCTATTTTTATTTTTTAAATGCTGGAAATTGAGTTTGCCACAAAGAACAATTTAACACGATTCCCAAACTTTGGAAACAGAATGTGGTCTTGGAGCTGATTGGGAGGTGGGAATTGTTTTTCTGGGTGGAGGGACTGGCAATTTTACATTCTTGGTGCAGGATCAATCCTTTGTAGTAGGATCGTTTCTGTCTGAAATACAGGAATATGCTTTTTTCCTACCCAGATATAGCCATTTAATAGGCTTTAATTCCAGGATTTGACGGTGGAAAGGTAAATGTTCTTTTCTTTCCTATTTTTCAGGCCTTGCCCATCTGAAGCATTTTACTGCTATCAGTGGTCGAAGTGGATAAAAGGAGAGGTATAGAGTATTAGAAAAACCTTTCTTCTGTTTTAATAACCAAGCACAGAGCTAGTATAAAATTATGGGAGAGTCAGGAAAATACAGGATCCACTTAATTCCAGGGTGCCCATGTAAAATTATTAGCTCTATAAGAACTGAATACAGAAATCAATTCCGTACTCTGGATTCTGTTAGATCTTGAATTCAATTTTGTTAGCTACATTCTCTTCTACTTTTACCCCTAAGGTCCAGTCACTTCTACAATTACTCAGGCATGTACCCAGAGGAGTTCAGCAAGATCTGGTTTTTGCTACTAAAAGCTCAACATTTCAAAAACCTGAGATGCTCTGGAACTGTTGATATAGGTGAAATCCAATGCAGTGCAAGCAGACATGTGCAGCGGTCCTTTCCCTTCCTCTCCGCCCACTTCCTGCAGCTCCCAAATCTTCTCCAGAGGATTGGGGGACACTTGGTAGCAGATTTGGGGGAGGAAGAGTACAGTACAAGGGCTACAGAGGAAGAAGAGAAGCTGGAGGTCCTGTTGCACAAGTGGATTTCCATTGTGGAAGGAGGTGAACAGCACTGGATGTTGCCACTTTAGGACAACTGCACAGAAATTATGATAGACTTTACCAGCATTGCCCATCCAAAGTTAAGTACTTGTGGCCTTGTTGATTTCTATGGGGGAGAGTTAAGTGGGAGTTTTAAAATGATTAACTCTGTCTGAATTGTGCCCTGTGTGCTTGATTAAATGCAGTTTTGACAGACATGTTTAAAACATTTTTGGCACAATATCTGGCCACACACATGCACTACAGCATGTCTGCCATTACCAGCAAACAGGAAATCAGTATTGTTCTTACTTATGTATCCGTCTCCCCAAGGCGCCAGTTCTTGATATTCCTTCTCCATTTGGGGAATTTTGGCTGAGAAGCAGAATAAAAATCCAGTAAACAAATAAATCAAATATAACAAAATATCAAACTTCCCAATTCAGATGAAAATTGAAGGGGGATTACAAGAAAATATTTCTCCAAGGGACAAGTGGGAGAAATAATTTACCAGCTCTTCCCTACCCACCCTCCTCAAATATTGTCTGAAAAAAAGGAACATCTCTTCTGATTTACCTAATGTGATATATCTGAAATCCTGAGGTATTAATTAGAGTTTAAAGAATCTTCCCCCACCCATATGCTACAATTGCTTGGTCCAAAGTGATCCATAGAGTTCCAGTGGTAATAATTATATTGTTCTGAATGCTGACCAGCCAGGCTGGTGACATCTTTTGGTAGGAAAATAGCAGGTTACTCCCTCAGGGTGGTTGTTAGATATTTGTCTTTCGCAGGGATGGGCAACCAGTGTCACTCCTGAAGTTCGTGGATTCCAGCTCCCATCAGGCTCAGTCAGCATGGTCGATTCCCAGGGATAATGAGAGTTGTAGTCCAACAACATCTGGAGGGCCAGAGAATCCCCATACCTGGTTTAGGGAACTAATTGGTAGAGGATAGTTTCTCGATCATCTCTGAAAAGTAAGGGCCATTTTAGGGAAGGAAATTCACCACCCCCACCCACCCCCCAGTTAGGGTGCTCTTAGCATTTGGTGTGGGAAGGGCTGCCATTTTGGAGAACAGAGTCATTCTGAGGCAGCGAAAGAAGTGGCGCAAGAGAGATAAGTTGTGAGCTGAAGGCACCTCGGAGTGTAGGTATTGCTTTCTGGGGGGTCTCATGTGGATCTTGTAACTGGTAGGAGTACTTGTGCTGTTTGCTTCCACCTATGCTCCTATTTTTGCAAAAAAAGGAAAGAAAAAGAAAAACATTACAAAAATCCCCTAAATCTATTATCTCTCTTCCAAAAGGTAGGCAATCCCAAGCAGTGCTATCACTGGAACTTCTGATTGCTTGGGAAATGAGGAGACAGCCACCCGTAGCACTGTTATTTTTTGCAACTGGACACTTTAATACATTACTAATGTCATGATAATACTTTCCTAGGGTGATATTGCTTTTCCATGTATTTACAGTGATATTTCAGAATGGACAGTGCTTGAGGGTGGGTGGGTGTGCAAAGTAATGGGAACTTTATAGGTAACTAATAAAGTATTCTCCCCCCCCACACCCCCATGAGAAGTCTGGATGGCCCTATCCATTTGAGGATGAGTGCTAATCATCTCTTAGTGATTGCTTAGGAACAGGAAATATGAAGAGTGCTTTAAAAATAAACCTTGCAACATTCATATGCCGCTGGTTACAAGGCGGTAGAAGAACACACAACAAAGTTCTCTGGAAATTTTCAGGGTGGATATTATGTTGTTAAGTGGCAGCAAAACTGTAACACGGGTGACATCATGTTTGCCCTGCGCTGGTTTCCAAAACCATGAGGTAACTATAAAGTCTGGAGCATTTGTAGGCCAAGTTGGCTCGGTGTGCCCCTGATCCTCATTCACCAGCTGTCATGCCCTTGATCTTGTGGAGCTGATATGGTTAACAGCTTAGCTTGGCCCACTGTGGGGCTGATATGGTTAACAGCTTAGCTTGGCATACCAGGTCTGTCAGTGCAGGAGGACATTAACACCATGTGGTGAGCACCGCTTGATCCACCTCTATATTGGGTTTCATCACGAGGATCTCAACTATGTGACCCAGAATATTTGGCCTAATGTCAGGACTCAGGAGAGGCCTGGGTCTATTGAGCTGTTTCACCAAGACTCCCTGCCCTCCCATCACCACTGGAATCTGATCCAGTTAATGGAACGTGTGAGAATTTTCAGCTGTCCCAATCGCACAAGAAATACTAAGAGCAGGACCTGTGCTGCGCTTATATGTATATAGGAGCAAAGGGTATACCATCAGCCTAATCACCTTCTCTTACATATGCAACAGGTTCTTGTGTATTTTTACTAGGACTGTGAGCCAAATGTCAATAATCAGGTTCTTTAATGTGGTTCTAAATCTGACGGAAGTATGACAAATTTGTGCTGGGACTGTTGTTGGCTCCTGTCATATTCTGTGGCCATGATTCTCACACTAAGGAAGGGGAGGCATCACCCCCCTGCTCCTGGACCATTCAGGATTGATTATATGACCATGTCTGACTCCTCTGGGTCACGAGAACCCCCTCCAGTGCAGTCCCCACTGCCTCCACCCCATAGGAACCTGTGGTTTGGAAGAGCTCAATGGCCCTTTAATTGAGCACGGTGGGGCTAATAGGACGTAGATGGTCAGGCAGCCCTCAGAAGGCCCCTGTAACATGCTACTGAGACAGCTAATCTCCTAGAGTGAGGTCAAGCTGACATTGGCTCGATGAGCTGTCCAGTGGCTTCAAACTATCCTCCCTGAGTCCCCAATCTGCAAAAAGACATGACAGCTTCCTGGCTGGTGAGGATATCTTCATCTACTTGGGGGTGTGGGGAGTAAAAAATACGTTCTGATTCTGGAAGCTGGGGGGCAGCTGATGCCTGGGATATCCCGACTACCCAATGCCGCCAGCTCTGAACTTGGGCAACCTTCTTATTGAGCTCAATAGCATCTGCTGCTGCAGCCATCAAGAGTTTGTTTGACTTCACTTCTCCCAACATGATATGTCACTGATAGCTGCCAACAATTTTCTTTTACACTTTATCGAGGACATCCTCTCTGAGTAAGAAAATGTGTACGGGCACAGAATGAGCATTAGAAATGTGAATGAAGAGAAACCACTGGGTGAACGGTTCTGTGTCCCTTGGGCACAAGTTTCTCTTTTGCAGATCTCTACTACCATCATCCCTTGTGTGTACTTTCAACACTTTTATTGTCCACTTCATGCACTGGAAGTGGTATGTCTTGCACTTGTGCCCAAATGAATTCATTCATTTATAAAAGTGTCACTTCATCCTGTGGTGTAGTTTTCATTTATTTTCCTATCTATCCAATCTTCCTGACAAAACTGCCAGACCAGTTAGGCAGCCAGCATATGAAAGGTGGATTGGCACAAATGTGTATTCAACCTTTGCAGAAGTGGAGCTAGACTAGAACTTTCCTAGAGAGATGACCAAGGGGGAAAAGCAGTCTACTCGGCCACCCTAAAGTGGAAGGATTATGAGGTTTAGTGATAAAGTCAATAGCTGTTGAAGTGTTTGCATTCCCTTGCGCCTTATTGCGAGACAGAGATGGCAGCTCCCCTATAGTTTGCTTATGTCGGGTGATACTAGAATGTTATTTCCTTACACTAGGGACGAACATGTAGGATAGAAACTGTATTTGTGCTTTGTTGCCCCCTGCACAACCTATGCTCTTATTCTACATCTTTGGTTTACTTTTTGGACATGCAATGTTGTGTGGTTATTTGTCGGCTAGAGCAACAAAGCAAGCTGGTGACCTTTGGGGTATGACTCCTCAGAGGCAAGAAGGGGGGGCATCTTTTCGCACATCTTGAAGGGCTTTTGGTTCAGGGCAAGCATTGATGCTGCTGTTTCCTGGAGAACCACGATGCCTATAGAAGCCGGCTTACACTGGCTTTTGTGCACTTTGGAGGGACAGATCCTTGTGCACAGGTGAGAACTCACTTGAGTTGGTTTGGGCTATTATTATTTTTAAAAAGAACATGACTTACTTGGAGGGTTTAGATGCCAAGGTTTCTGTTTCCAGAAGAGCTGATAATTAGGAAGCCATTTTAATGTGAAAGGCATTCAATCTAGGCTCATTTTTTACTAACATACCTGCTTCTGGGCTGTGCTCCTTGAGACTGTAAGTGGAGACTCTCATGACTGAACAGAAGTCCCTGAACAAAGGAAACTAGCACATCGGGGAGGAAGCTAGACTAGAATCCTTCTCTCTGACATATATTTTTCCCTGTGCAGGGATTCCTTTTGTATGAAGGAGCACCCTTTATCATGTCAGTATGTACCAGCAGGTCTGGTGTACCATCTTGGTGAGACCCAGGTCATAGTGATAGTTATTACTGCCATCTATTTTGTGCTTTAGACTTCTCAAAGTCCTTCACATCCATTACACTGTAATCCTTATACCAAGCTCATAAGGTCAGTCAGTATTATTTTTCCCATACTGCAGACCTGCAACAAAGACTGCAGCACTGTGAATTCATGGCAGTGGCAAGTTTTCAACCAGGGACTTTGTGATTTATAGCACAGCCTCTTGTTTACTATGATGCTTGAAGTCTCATCATGATTATGATTTACCATTTAATCATATTTCGTCTGGCTGCCACAAATTAAATAGCGCAAATTTAAAAAGTCTCATGCATCAAGGTGATACTTTGAACATCCAGTAGCTTTTCTCAGAACTGATGCTCTTTGTATAAATAGAACATCAATATGAATAAACAGATGTCACTCTAAAGAGCCTCACAAGCTGGTGATATCATTTTATTTTTTTTAAGGATGGTGTCAGTGCTAATTAAAGGAACCAGGACAATCTCCAGGCTATAAAAAACATTCTCAGAAGAAGCCGTGGGAGAAAAGACCAGCTAATTTCAAGACACCCCTTAGAGACATATTCATTGAGAACCCAGCCCCTACAAATTCCTTTGCAGGAGGTGTGCAAGAAGAGTGGGATAAAGCTTCCCTACTCATCATCCAAGGCAGTTCCTCAGCTTATCTTATGTGATCTCATAAGCCCTATGAAAAAGAGGTTTTACAGGAAGGAAGGGACAAACAGTTTCCAAGCCTAAGAAGCATCTTCCAGGCCATGATTATATCTAGCCTCTTATGTCATCGGAGTTGCTATATCTCCCATACTTAGCCTGGAAAACTTCCAGAAGTGACATTGGATTGGAGCATTACATCAGCAGTGCCAAAAGGTGACTGTCCCACCATGTCCTGCTATAGACTGTACATTGGAAAGAGCAGAACGGAAACAGTCATCTTGCCATGAAGTATTAGGTATCTGGCTTCAGCTGATTTCATGTAGACATTCATGTGGGAAATAAACTGTAGGTTCAGCTTAGTCCACCACTTATTATCTGAGTTGCTGTACCTTGAGGAACATTACAATGAGTCCCATAGCATGTAAGACTTCTGCCTGGCCAGTACAAGAATATCTCCTATGTAGGCTTTGACTGTCTGAATCTTTCCTTAATCTAAACCTATTGCATGTTCCCTTATGGGTGATTCAACTAAGTTTTACTCAGAGTAGTCATATTGAAATTAATAAACATGACTAAGTGAGGGCCATTAATTTCGGTGGATTTACTCTGAGAAAAAATTAGCTGACTACCACCCAATTTGTTCTATGTCTTCAGCTACCAGTAACCTTTGGTGGTAGACAAACTGCACACTCCTTGAGCTGTGTAGCTATGGCATGCCTATGGTCATTGGAATAAAACTCTAAATTGGGTGGAATTCAACATAATGCAACAATACTTTCCCCCCTCTCCCGCTGCATGCATCTCTTAAACCTGTCCCAAGGGTTTCCCCCAACCTCCAGAGCAGATTTAGTTAATGGCGCTGGGAGAGGAGAGAAGTAAAAGATCTGTTGCACGAACAAACCTTGTTTCATGAACCCAACAACTTGGTTGAATACCACCCACACTAATTACAGCCATCACTTATCTATATGTGTTCTATTATTTACACATCTGCAACATTTGAATTGCCAAACCCTACAGTACCAACTTTATAGTACAGTACCAACTTTATAGTACAATACCGCTTTATAGCGGGAAGGTAAACGGTGTTCCGTGTGCTGCGCTGGTGCAGGCTCGCCAGAGCAGCTTTGTCACGCTGGCCACGTGACCCGGAAGTGTCTGCAGACAGCGCTGGCTCCCGGCCTCTAGAGTGAGATGAGCGCACAACCCTAGAGTCT